TGCTTATGTCCAGACAGTCAGGCATGTCAAGACTCTATCCTGAGTCGCCTGATGGCCTGTAGCTTGGAAATATTCAAGATAATGAGAATTCTGTAAGCACTCCTGCTGAGTCAGCATGCCCCTCCCTGCAAAAGCAGGGAGCAGAGGGACCCCTGGCCCAGGACCCTGATTGAAACATGTCTGGGCCCAGCTATGTCCGTTCCATCTTTGGAACCTTGGACCAGAGCCCCCACCACTCTGAGTCTCGAACTCTGGTGATCCCTGACACCCCACCCCTTCTGACCCTTTGACATCCCCAAGGTTCTATAACTCAGAGCCATGAGGTCTTATCCAGGGTGACCGAGAAGTCGAGGGAGACCGTGGAGAATAGCTCTTGGTTTCCATGAAGAAACAACACAAGGCATGCACGCAGTCTTTGCCTTCCCCTGGAGAGGTTGCCTATACTGTCCATTCACTAGTTCACTCAGGTTTCTTGAGTCCTTGTTTGCCTTGGGCTGGGAAGAGGGACCAGACAAAGGTCTTGCCTTCAAAGTGCCCCCCTCCAGCAAGAGCAGCAGGTCCTGGAAAATGACCACACAAGAGCACAGTTAACATCTTCCAAAGGCTTAGAAAGGCCTTTAAAGAACAGAGGAAAGAAAAAGGAAACAAAGAGTCATAAGCCACAGGAAAGGCAAAAGGTAGAAAAAAGGCTATTGACTCTTCCTGCCAGATACCAAGCTGGTTGTTTTATATACCTGAATTTATTTATCTTTTCATCCATCTTATGTGGTAGATTTTTTTTTGCACAATTTAAAGTTAAGAGAAAGTGGGCATAATAAATTCCCTGATGTTCCCAGATCTAGTACTTGGTGCTTCACATCCTGTGTGTTGACACTACAATGCTCCCTCCCTAAAGACATGACACTTGATCCGGCCTTAAACAATCACTAAGGTTTCCCCCAACAGAGAACAACCACAGTTACTCAGGTAGAGAGAGCTAAAGAAATGAAATTACGGCTATCAAACTGAATCAGAGACCACCACTTAAGGGCAGAGATGCAGGCAGGGTCCAGGAAACGAGGTGGGAAGTGGGAGCCACCTCATGTGTTCCATACCCAGCTCCAGGCAGTGATGAGCCGTGGAAATAGGGAACAACGTGATCTGATTTTGCCCTTTACAGTTGCTGCTTTGATAGCCCTGTGAAGGATGATGGAAAAGTCAGATTCCCAGGCACTGATGAAATGCTATGGGTGGGGGGATGAGGGATCAGTAAAGAGATGATGACAGGAGTGCAGCAGAGAGACATGGAAGGCTGGAGCCATATCTGCGACATTTCATTAACTAATGGGGATGCACAGAATCCCAGGGGGTGTATACTTGGAATTCTGAGAGTTTCCAGGAGACCTGCCTGAGACTCCAACCAGGATCCTTGGGACCACTTAGTAAGTATGCATTTAAATGACATCAGTCCTTAAAGGTTTGCACATTCTTAAGAGGATGTTTCAGAAACAGACTGGGTCCTCAAAGCTTCAAGGCTCATAGGGATTCGGGTCTCCTTTGGGAAAGACAGAGGGAACCTGGATTCAAATTTCTCTGGACTCTGCCAAATATACACCCTTTAAATAGAAGGAAGAGCTGGTCTTGGCCAAGCAGGCCTTTGATGCTCTATTGTCCAGAAAAAGAGCGGGGTTCTCAGGCACCAACTATGCTTGCCTGACCCGGGAAGAGAACCAGATACTCCAGATACTGGTCCTGTTAGACTGGATGGTCTGAGGCCGAGGACTCAAGATAACTGGGGCCACAGCAGCCCTCAGAGAAGACAGGGCTTGAGACCAGCCAACCCAGAGGAGCCGGGGGGAGCTGCCAGGGTGACGGGGAACAGCACAGTGACGGAGCATGGCAGCAGAGAAGTGACTTCACAGAGCCATCACATGAGAGATAAACACAGGCCATGCTGAGGCCTCGAGGGGCCCAGCCAGAGGCCAAGAGGATGTGGGAAAAGTGATACGTGTGCACCCACTTGTAACTGCATTAACAGTAAAAGGGGTCACTAAATGGAAATGATGACATTTCTAGTTCTTTTGGAAAAGTCAGGGCCTGGTTTCATCTTTATGTTGACCAAAAATTCACTTGTCTTCTTCATCTCTCACCCCGTCTGTCTTCTTTCCATGCACAGCTCTCTAAGGGCTCGAGGGTGACAGGGACCACACACAGCTCTCTAAGGCCTGGAGGGTGACAGGGACCACGCACAGCTCTCTAAGGCCTAGAGGGTGACAGGGACCATGCACAGGTCTCTAAGGGCTAGAGGCACTGAGGAGATCCCATCCCAGAGCTGGCCTGGCACCAGTTGCCTTCCCCTCCCATGTCCCTTCCAAGACAGAGGCCAGGAGATGCTGGGGCTGGACTCGCAGACTGCCCTGCCCGGTCCCTTCCAGTTAACACAATCTCTCACTTGTTTCCTTCTCTCAGCCCCCTACTCTGTCCATTTATTTTCATCCTTTTCTTTCCCCTTTCTCTGTTTTCTCTTGCTTCTAAAATCTAGCTCGTGTGAGTAACGTTCATATGGTTATGAATACAGTCGGTTCTTTGTCATCTGTGATAATGAGAGGCGGGTCATGTGGATAACCCCAAACTGCAAACACTATTCATATACACGACTGAGGAACATTCCAGTCTGACTAACAATCTAATATTTGGTTTAGGCTGCACTCACTGGGTATCCATTAGCTCGTTAGCAGGAAGGGCATAGAGAGGTTAACCGGGCAAGCCCCGGGAAGGATGACAGTACAGACACTGGCCAGGTCTCCTCCACCGAGCAATGGCCTGTGTGCACATCAGACTTCGTTGGTTTGTGTGATGAACGCTGCAGTGGCCTGTGTGGAGAGTGTGGCTGGGGACAGGGGACAGGCTGTCATAGGAGAAAGAGATCCTTTGCCAGAGGTTTGAAGAGACTAAGCCTCCAGACTAAGCCTCCAGAGACCAAGTAGGGTCAGCCGCTCAGTTCCAGGGTGGCTCAGCCTGCAGGGACAGGGCGGGACAGGGCAAGGACTCCTCTCCAGATTCTGATGTCAGTTTGATTCCCTGTGGGTGGCCCTGCATTAAGGAAATCAACCCTCTTGGACATTTACAATACCAGACAGGACCCCATAGGAAATGCAAATTAGCTATACTCTAACACTCAGAGATGAGCACCATTAACGTTTTAATTATTTTTATTCTCTTTTCTAAGGTGACAAATGATGATTAAATAGATGGATAGATAGATGGATGGATGGATGGATGGATGGATGGATAGATGATAGATGTAGAGGGTAGACAGATGTTCCACATAATGCTTTATATTTTACATTTTCTTTATACAATCTTGTAAGCATTTTTATATCATTTGATTTTTCTAATGTCTATTATGTCTAATTTAATGCATACTGAATAATTCATAATTTATTATAATTTATAATATATATTTTATATATTATATTATATACATTATTTTATATATTATATATAAATACATATTTATATATTATTTTATATATGATAATATATTATTATATATAATAATTTATTAAATTTCTATATTATTGAGGGGCACCTGCTTGGCTCAGTGGTTGAGTGTCTGCCTTTGGCTCAGGTTGTAATGCCAGGATCCTGGGATCAAATGCTGGATCAGGCTTCCCGCCTGAAGCCTGCTTCTCCCTCTGCCTGTGTCTCTGCCATTCTCTCTGTGTCTCTCATGAATAAATAAACAAAATCTTAAAATAAGTAAATAAATTTCTCCATTATTGAGATATTGTTTCCAATTCTTTGCTTATTGTACATGATATGGCAAAGAAAATCCTCCTGCATGCATATTTCTTCAAATTGCTGAGTTGATCCTTAGCAGAGATTCCTTTAAAAATGACTTTCAGCGTAAAGGGGTACAAAGAGTTTTAAGGCTCTTGAATTAATTATCAAAAATTTTTCTAGCTCTTTTTCATGGCTTCGCAGAGGTGGTGGGCTGCTTTGGGATGAAGCTGAGCATCTGTTTCCCAGCCACAGGCTGCAGGGAACTCAGTGCAGTGGATGATGTTTGCAAACTTCTTATCTTTTATGAGGAGCAGAAGTTGCTGCTGATACTCTGGGTGAAGAATGAAAGGGTTATGTGGTGTGAATTCCTGGTGGGAACGACAAGCCAGGTTCCCCATGAAGCAGGGTGTCTCCATCCATGGCCATATCCATCTGCTACTGAGTGATGGGCATTCCTGTTACAGACCAAGGAGGACTGGAGAACGAATGCACACATCTGTGGATGCCCATCTGAGGGTTCTCAATTTCTTGTAAAAACAAGGAGGGGAAGGATATTCCTGGACTCACTGATAGGACTGCACCTCATCATCTGGGGCCCAGAAGAGCTCACAGAATGCACAGACCAGTCTCTCTGAAGAAGACACTGCCCCCCCAGTATGTTGTGAGGAAGCCCCAAAGCAAGGAAGATAGGACACCTAGGACCAATCAGCCCAGATTCTGCGTCTTGTTACTCGAGCGTCCTGCCACACAAATGTGGGTGTATTGCTCCAAACAGTGTACTAAGAAGAATAAAGAAGGGCTGCAGGTTATGAAACTTTTGACCAAAAGAATGAAGGGGCCAAAGAAAAATGCCAGGAACAGACTGCCAAGAGATGGAGCCTGTCCTCTCTGAGGGCTTCTGCCTCTGAGTCCGGTCAAAAAGGGGATGTTTTAAGTCAGGGTGGTGGAAGGGGAGGAGGGCGGGGGTGGGGGTGAATGGGTGACCAGCACTGAGGGGGGCACTTGACGGGATGAGCACTGGGTGTTATTCTGTATGTTGGCAAATTGAAAACCAATAAAAAATAAATTTATTATAAAAAAAAAGACACATAGATCAATGGAACAGAGTAGAGAATCCAGAAGTGGACCCTCAACTTTAAAAAAAAAGAAGTCTGAGTGAGAATGGCCATCAGAGCTGCCACCCACGAGTTCCCCCTGCTGCCCGCACCTCCAGTCTCCCTCCCTCGACGGTTGCCATGGCTGAAGGGGAGGCTAAAGGAGATAAAGCCAAGGCGAAGGATGAGCCACAGAGAAGATCTGCAAGGTTATCTGCTAAACCTGCTCCTCCAAAGCCAGAGCCCAAGCCTAAAAAGGCCCCTGCAAAGAAGGGGGAGAAGGTACCCAAAGGGAAAAAGGGGAAAGCTGATGCTGGCAAGGATGGAAATAACCCTGCAGAAAATGGAGAGGCCCAAACAGACCAGGCACAGAAAGCTGAAGGTGCTGGAGATGCCAAGTGAAGTGTGTGCATTTTTTATAACTGTGTGCTTCTGGTGACTGTACAGTTTGAAATACTATTTTTTACCAAGTTTTATAAAAATGCAGAATTTTGTTTTTCTTTTTTTTTTTTTAAGCTATGTTGTTAGCACACGGAACACTTCATTGTTGTTTTGGGGGAAGGGCATGTCACTAATAGAATATCTCCGAAGCTAGATTGATAACAAGAGGGAAAAACACCTTCCCCTTCTAGTTTTGAGAAACTTCTTGGCTCCCAGGAGGAGGGATTCCTTGATGTTGACACACATGAGCCACCTTGGTGTGGAAAAACTAAAATTCATTTTTTTATGTCCTCTTCTCCCTCTCTGCCTTCAATATAGACTTGACTCCCTTAAACCCAGAGACCTGTTGGAATCTGACCCCATGAAATGGTTCCCAGTATGTCAGGCAATCTGGACTTTACAGTGTCACCAATGAGATGGCGTCCCTCAAAAGAGTTCCTTTTTTTAGCTTGTGGATCTCCAGATTGATAATTCTGCCATTTTCATTTCATTTCCTGAAAGTCAGGGTCGGCTTGTGAAAAGTTGTTAAACAACATGCTAAATGTGAACTGTCAACCCTCACTCTAAACTTTCCCTGTTCAGAGCATCCCATGAAGACTTCATGGGGATTTATAGTGGCTTTCTGACTTGGTAGTCCATTGAAGAAGGGAGTTTGAAAGTTGTTGTATACTGTTAACGATTGGCCACCCATGTCCTGCCTGAAATACCGTGATTGTTTATGAAAAGTATCTTTAATAAGGCTGGATACAGTTTGGCTTGGAAAAAAAAAAAGAGAGAGAGAGAATGGCCATCAGAAAAGAGAGAAAAGTTTTCTAAGTAAGTGGCAACAATTTATTGGGGGTATAAGTATTGGACACTTGCCAACATTAAACATTCTGTTTCATGAGTAGAATTTAACATAGGTAAAAATGTGATATATATATAATGACTTTTTTTGTTTTTAATTTTATTTATTTATTCATGAGAGACACAAGGAGAGAGAGAGGCAGAGACATAGGCAGAGGGAGAAGCAGGGTCCCTCCCTGCAGGGAGCCCGATGTGGGACTCAATCCCAGGACCCCGAGATCACAACCTGAGCCAATGGTAGATGCTCCGTGACTGAGCCATCCAGGTGTCCCAATAATTCAATGTTTTAATTAGGATTTCTTTGAATTTATTTTGAGAACATTTTTCCCATGCTTATAGAACTCTCAGTTTATAATGCTGCCCATTTTTCTATTGGTGATTCTTATTTACATGAGCTGTTCTTTTTTTTTATGAGCTATTCTTATGAACTTTATGTGAGCTGTATATTTATACATATGTATGTACATTTGTATATTAATCCTGGGCTATGTGCACTGCAATTTTTTTTCTCCACTTGTTTTTGGCCTTTTGATTTTGCTGATGATTTTATTATTTAAAATTTTTAATTTAATTGTCCTCAAATCTTTGCCTTTACTTTGTGACTTCCTCCATGCTTTTATGTTTATAATTCCCTCTCCACTTTAAAGACTAGAGAACATATATTCATATTTCCTACATGCTTTGCTTTATTTCTTATATTTAATTTTATGATTCATGTTTATTTTTTGCATATAGTATGAAGTAAGGAATTTACTGGAGATCATTCTCCAAACTCTTTCTTGACTAATCCATTGGTTTATGATGTTTCCTTATCACATATTACACTGCCATACAAGCAGTACACACCTTGATGTATCACCCAGACTCCCTCCCGCCTCAGGAATGAAAGACTCACTCCTCCAGCTGCAGAAGACAGCCCTTCCCCCAGTTAAGGAGAATTCTGATGGCCCTGTCAGCCCCTCCCCATGTGGCTGAAGCCTGTGTTGGAATTGAATCAAAGCTCAATCTCTCCCTTTGCCTGATTTCACTTCCATTCCCTACTTGCTTCCATGATATGATCCTAAGAACACTCCCTATCCCACATCCTGCAACGTAATTATCATCCCAGAGTCCCAGGAACACAGCCTGTGACACACATACATAGTGGCCCACAATCTATAACCCAAAAGTTCTGAAAACTGAAAGCTATTTATCATGAGTTTGGTGCCAACATTCATTTGGGAGAAAAATATGATGCATATCAGTAGGAGGCCGTTTATAGTTTTGATGTATCCTGCCCAGTTTTGTTACAGAAATATTTGATTATGGGGTAACTGGTCCAGACTCCACTGAAGGTATTCAGTATTATTTAGGATACAACCAAATTACCTTTTAAATTCCAAAATTTTAAATTCCTAAACACATCTGGCCCCAAGAGTTTCAGCTAAGGCAGTGTGGACCAATACTGAGTGTATTTTGAAACTTACCTAATGCAGGTGTCCTTTTAATTCTAATATCATTATGAAACACAGTGAAATCTAATAATTAAAGTCTCTCCTTCAGCACTGTTATTCTTTTACAAAATAATTTTGTTATTCCCACCCATTTTACTCTCTGAAATTAACTTCAGAATCATTTACCAAACGACCCTTCAGACTGAGATTTTCACTGCAATAACATTAAGCCTAAAAATTCATCTGAGGAGTAATATCTTTAAAGTACTTAACCATCCCATGGAAGAACATGAGAGACCTAGCCCTTTGTTTAGGTTTACTTTTATATCTTTAGCTGGATTTAGGGGGATTTTTAAATTCCTTCGGATAAACTCCACATATATTTTGTTGAGTTATGGCCATGAATTAGCATTAATCGTCATTCTGAAAGACACTAAGGCATTTTTTCTTCATTAATTCTCCTCATTGGTTCTTATTTGTTCATAGAAAACAATAATTTCTTCGTACTTTTACTTTCTATTGCCTCCCTGAATCGACTGAATGGTCATGTTTCCCCCACAAATTCATATAGTATTGAAACCTACCCCTCCACGTGATGGTATTTGAAGCAGGGCTTTGGGAGGTAAGTCTTGAGAGCAGAACCCTCATGATTAGTGGGATTAGTGCCCTTATAAAAAGTATCCAGAGAGCTCTCTTGCCCCATTTTACCTTATAAAGGAAATCCGGAGAGCTCTCTTGTCCCTTTTTACCACGTGAGGACATAGGGAGAAGGAAGCTGCTCATGAACGAGGCTGTGGGCCCCCACCAGGTACTGGATCTGCTGGCATCTTCATCTCAGGCTTGATGGCCTCCAGAACCATGATAAATCACTGTGTGTTGTTTAAGCTCCAGTCTGTGGTATTTTGCTATACTAGCCGGAAGGGACCAAAACATCTCCTTTCTGAAATTACTTTAATTCTAAGAAATTTTCAAGTGGATTTCCTTGAATTTTTCCTCTATTTACTTATGTCGTCTGCAAATAATGATAATTTTGTTCTCTCCCATTGAATATTCATGCATCCTCTTTCCATTTTCTGCATGTTGTGCTGGACATTCTGTTCATAACAATCTGAAATAATGATGGCAGGGGCAGGAATTCTGGTCAGCTTTCCAATCTTAATTGGAATTGTCCCTAGTGCTTCACCATTAAACATCACACTGGCTGATACTTCATGACACTTATTCTTAATCATCTACAGAAATATGTTCTCAGCTTTCTAAGAGTTTCTTTTTCTTCCATGAGAAATAGGTTGCATTGTATCCTACATTTTTATATCTGCTGAAATTACTATATTTGTCTCTTTTGAAATACTGCTATGAAATAATATATTGATCAATTTCCTACTGGTGAACCATTCTTGAATTTAGGATAGACTATTTTACTGTAGTGGGTGAGTTGCACCAATTCTTTACAGAAATATAGATTTTCACGTGCATTTTTTATAACTGGGATCAGTCTATTGGTAAAAGTTCTCAGCTGTGAGGCAGTAGAATTGCCACATGGGAAACAATTTAAAGATGAAGATCACAGGACCCAGAAGCCGTAACCAAAAAGATAAATTTGACTTTTGAATAATTTTAATTCTCTAATAGAAAACATGCCCCTCAGCCAAAAGACAAATAGAAATTTGTTAAAAACAGCGAATTGGAGATCAATTCCATTATTTTCAAAGTGCTCAAGCAATCTATCACAAGAAGGAGAAGAAATCCAGTAGTAAAACGAATAGTTGCAAACAGGAGGAGAAGAAAAACTGTAAGTGGACAATATAATTTGAAACAATTCCCAAAGTCTTTGATAATTTTTTTCTTTTTTTAAACTCTTTGATAATTAAAGAAATACAACTCAAAACTAAAACAGATAGTATTTTAAGTCTATTAATATAGAAAAAATTCCAAACATTTGATGAAGACACCCAGTCCTGGCAAGGATGTGGGAAACCAGGTACTCGTATTCCTTATTGTTTCTAGGGAAGGGCTTGGCAATAGGTATCCAATTAAAAATCCATGTATATTAGATCCCAGTAACTCTGCTACTAAATATTTACCACATAGAGGTATTCACAAAGTATATGTAGAAAGTGCAAAAGTAAACCAAAACAACCAATATATTTACCAATCAGTCTTAATTTTGACACATATCTTTTTGAGGCACCTGGGTGGCTCAGTCGGTTAAGTGTCTGCCTTCCGCTCAAGTCATGATCTCAGGGTCCTGAGAACAGAGTCACTCCTGTTCCCTGCTAAACGGGGAATCTGCTTCCCTCTGCCTCTGCCCACCCCCAACTTGTGCTCTCTCTCTCTCTCTCTCTCTCTCTCTCTCCAATGAATGAATAAAATCTTCAAAGAAAAAAAAACACACACACACATATCCTTTTGATGGGATAGTATGTTGCCATTAGGGAAAAAAATAGATTTCTGTGTACTATATATAGAAAATTTCCAGTATAACTTATTAAACGAGAGAAAGCAACTTGAAGAAGAATGAGCATATTCTGGCCACATTTTTACACTTATTGAAGATGGATAGGTAAAGATAGATACTGGTATGTGCATCTTTTTTGTTGTTCACACCAGAAGATATCTTTGGGGACAAAACTTGAATAATATGGTGGAGAGAGAAGGGGGATACGGATGCTTTTTACTTTGTACTCTTTACACTGTTGGAATCTTCCACATTTCTTCAATTAAAATGTAATATGAGCAAACATTTTTCTAAGACTTTCAAAAGGCATTTTCTTTTATATATTTTTCTATATTAAATTGATAATAAGAATTTAATATTATTTGGCCCCATCTCTGATCCA